GAGATGGAGGGAAAATGATAAAGGAGAGAAGAAAACAGGAAAGAGGAAAGAAAGTTAGTTAGTTGTCATGTTCAGGCTAACGGACAGATTAAGTTGGTCTTGGCTACGTACGTGAGTTGCTTATTTCCAAAGAGGAAAAAAATGGTATTTTAGGTGAATACCAGACTGGGCTAAATCATGGTACATGCTCTGTGCACATATTTTTGAATCTCCTGCAAACTAGCTACATGACCTTGGCAGGCGTTCTCCCCTTCAGGGCTACTGCTTGGATGTGTGTTCAAGGCTCTTTCCATCAACTTCTCTGGATCACAGGGCAAAGCAGCACGGGTTCAGAGTTTGGCTCAGGTGGAATGGCTTTTCTCTTCTTACTGGCACTGCAGCACTGCCTGTTACTCATGCCATGCTTTGGCTTTCTCTTTCTCGTTTATACGATGCAGGCTATCATGGCTCTGCATCGTAAGGTTGCTGTGACAAGCAGAGGGGCCAATGCATGTGAAATATTTAAAACAGTGACTGATCTAGGCATCTTAATAACTGTTAGCTTCATCACAACATAGAAAATGCAGACACAGTGAGGAACTCCCAAGAGCATCATAAATGGAGGCATCCTTACGGCCAGAGGATGAAAGAAATCTAAAAACTAAGCTATATGCTTGCAAGGACCAAAAAATAGCCATCATCAGAGAGTAACCTTTGCAAATGCTTCTCTAGTTCAACATCAAGCTGTTGTCGCTCACCTGGCGTTGCTGATGCCCAGCGTACTGAGTTCTGCCTCCATATCAGGTGTGGTGCTAAGGAATAATTCCATCTTCATCAAAAAGGAAACCAAAAAAGTCTGTAAAATGGATCATTGCTATCCTGTCTTTGAAGACTGGGAAACTGACACTCCAGGAGGTTGGATAAATTTCCAAAAGAGGAAGAGTAACGGTGGGGAGTGACTGTGAAGGCATGGAAGCCTGGGGTTTAGGAGGTGGGGGCAGGAGGACCAGGAGTTCAAAGTCATCTTCCTTGGCCACACAGTGAGTACAAGGTCAATCTGGGCTACATGAAGTCCATATTATGTCCCTGAGCCTGACTTTAAAAAAAAAAAAAACATTTAAAGGTAAAGAATGTACTTAGCTAATTCCTCAGAGATACTGTTTTTTAAAATGTATTTTTATTTTATGTCTATGAATGTTTTGCCTGCATGTATGTAACAGCACCTGTGCCATGCAATGCCCATGTAGGCCAGAAGAAGGCATCAGATCCTTTGGAACTGGAGTTACTGATGGTTGTTAGCCACCATGTGTGTGCTAGGAATCAAGTCTGGGTCCTCTTTAAGAGCAGCCAGGGCTCTTAACTGCTAATGTAAGAGGTGCCAGGGCTCTTAACTGCTAATCCAGCTCTCCAGCACCACTAATGTTTCTATTGAGGATACAATTCTACTTTCTTAGATTCCTTAGATTACATCCTAATTTTCTAGGAATGGAGTCACAAAAAAGCATGGTTTTGAGCAACAGTTTTAATGGTCAACTTGACACAATGTTGACTCACTTGGGAAGGGAGTGTGTAGATCATGTTGGCCTGTGGACATACCTGTGTGGGATTCTCTTAATTGAGTTATTTGACGTGGGAAGACCCACCCTGAATGTGGGCAGCATTGTGCCCTGGGTTTAGGGTCCCAGACTGTGGAAAAATCTGGCTAAGCACAGGTAGGCGTTCATTCTTCTTTCCATTCTTTTTTTTTTGGTCTTTTTGAGACAGGGTCTCCCCGTAGCCCCAGCTGTCCTGGATTCACTATGTAGACCAGGCTGGCCTTGAACTCACAGAGATCTGCCTGTCTCTGCCTCCCGAGTGCTGGGATTAAAGGCATGTGCCATCACGCCCAGCCTTCTTTCCATTCTTGACTGTAGATGTGACTAGCTGGGTTGTGTTTCTACTTGACTTCCCCACAATGACAGACTATAACCTGGAATTTGAAACCAAATAAAACCCTTTCTCTGTTAGAGTTGTTTTGGCAGGGTATTTTATCCTAGCAACAGAAATAAAAGTAGGACAGGTATCATCTCTAAGTCCTGTCCCAACACCCATGCACACAGATCACCATTCTTTCAGAATGCATGGTATCGGCTCCAAAGGGGAACTTGCCGGATGAACTCTAACCCCAGATTTAAAAAAAAAAATCTATCATCTATCTATCAATCAATCATCTATTTACATATTTATATTTTATGTGTATGACTGTTGTGCCTCCATGTATGTAAGTGCACCTGTGTGTGCAGTGTCTGCAGAGGCCAGAAGAGGGCATTGGATACCCTAGAACTGAAGTTAGCCACCATGTGGATGTTTTGGGAACCAAACTTGGGTCCTCTGCAATAGCAGTTGATGCTCTTAACCACTGAACCATCATGCCAGCCCCCCAACTCCAGCTTTGTACCAGCACAGGGCATCTGTGCTGTAGTAACTAGATTTTCCTTTGGAGATTATCTGCTCTGTTTCTCTCCTGGCTCCCTGTGGTTTGAGTAGTACTGACCATACTACCTCCAATTCTAAAGGGGGATCATAAGTTCAGAGCCTGACTTAATAACACTTCATTTTTTTCTGACAAAAAGATTTATAGATAAACATGTAGCCCAAACCAGACTTTGAAGATTATCTTGCAGAATTATGTTGTAGTGACTGAAAAAAACTTCTTTGGGCAGATTTTTTGGAAGATTTTTCTTTCTTTCAATAAGACACATATTTGCAGTTTGTAGAGTACATTTTTACTGCTCTGAAGAGAATATTTACTTGAGAATGAAGCCAACAGAGAGAAAAGACATTGCATTGCTACTTGAGCACTTAGATACAGCCATGCGTCAAACTAGGCCTCTGAACTTTTCCAGTTATCTGAACCAATACATTTTCTTTCTACTTAGACAAGTTTGGACTCCTTAAAAATCTTAGTCAATAAGTACCCTGTGGACACACAGAGTCACTGCACGCATGCATGAATGCTGTGCTCTATAATAGCAGCTAGAGACAGAGTTGGACATGGAGCTTGCCCTCAGAAGCCCTTGTCTAGAGGCAGAACCATCTGCAGACAGTGAAGGGTCATGCACAGTACAGCAGGTGGCCTCTACCTCAACCCTAGATGGTTGACCATTGACAAATGACCAGCTGCACACCTTGTGAGACCAGTGCAAAATGAAAATCTGAGTCTCATTTTCCTACAGTTATTAAGAGCCAAGAAATTATATGGGACTGGAGAGATGGTTCAGCAGTTAAGAGCACTGGCTGCCCTAACAGAGAACCTAGGTTTTGTCCCCAGCATCCACAGGGCAGCTAATAACCATCCTTAATTCTAGTTCTAGGGATCTGATACCCTCTTCTGGCTTCCATAGGCACTGCAAATATGGGTGACTTAACATTTATAAATGTTCATATATTCAGGAAAAACACTCATACACATAAAATAGAAAATAAATGAATCAAAAAAAGAAAGAAAGAAAATAAAAAAAGGAATGGTAGCACCAGAGCATCAAATCAAACATGGGGTCTTTTTGGAGGGAGGATGGGGTTCTCTGTGCATCTGCTCAGGGCCCATGCCCAGGATGCTGGCCAGACATAGGGCTATGGAGGGGTCTGCTTCCAACTAATGATGTGGCTGGGCCTAATTATCACCAGAATGTCAATCACTGTAAAGCCATTCTCTGTCTGTGAGGTGTGAACCAAGCAGAGTAAGTCCAGGCTGGGGGTGTTCTCTGACACTGTTGCTGGGCAGAGATGTATAGAAAGATGCCTCTTCTGCCTTCATAAACCTCTCCTCCCCTCCTCCAGATCCTAAAGCTGACATAAGATTAATAGTTAATGTGCCCAGGTTGTCTATCACAAAGTGGGCACTTGGGCATCCAGGGAATGGAAGAACAACTTTTCAGAGACCAGCAGACACTGCAGTCAACACTTAGCATGCAAGACACAGGTATTTCTAGACTTTATCCCAGGACAAAAAATTATTAATATATAAAAATTCATAGTTTTTCCTCCAGTCCCTTTCACTAAAGAGAATTCTGCTTTTTGCCAGTTTGCTTTCTTCCCTTTCACTCTCTGGAAACATCTCCATTTCTGCCAGTCAATGCCTGGCCTGTGTGATGTGGAACAAAGGCAGTAGGCACAGAGGGATAAAACTAGACATCCATGTGGGATGAAGAGCTTCCTATGGTAAGAACCTGAAATAAATATAAGAAAACAAAGGAAAGGAATTGAGAAAGGAGAAAGGGAAGATGAGAAGTCCTTGCTGAAGGAACGGAGCTCTGAGAGAGACCAGGGAACCACAGCATGTGAGACATTGGAGCCAGAGAAGTAGAACGGAATATTGGAATATCCCTGAGTGTTGGGATTTGGATTCATGTTGATGAAATGATATTAGAGATACACAGGGAAGACTGGAATTGTCTACAATGACTTATCCCCACAAGGTTGTGCTTGGCCATGTGGGGCCTGAATTATTCTTGAGTTCTACTGACATTCTATGATATGTGAGTAGGGATTACACATTCAGAGACACATAAAGTGTACTCCACGTGGCCCCAAAGGCAGATTCATTTATAAAATATTCCAACCTGTCTCTTCATCATAGAAAACTGTATTCTCACAGTAAAAGCCTTGAGAAGTCCAGTAGCACGGAAACCTGTTCAGGGCTGTTCAGGCTGATGCTTTCCACACTTATTTTTAATATATGGCACAAAATATGTTTTATTATTTTAAATGAACTTTAAAATAAAATAATTTAAAAATACTTTGCTGAACTCTTCTGTGTTGACAAACTATCATAGACAAAGTATTATATTTTAACTGGGATTTGAAGAATTCAGAAGGTTGGGGGAACCTTTTGAATAGGAGTGAGGAGTTCTTCCTGTGTTTAAGCATAGAAAGGAAGGGTCTGTTGGCACTTCAATTTCTTCTCTCCTGTTTGTGTCTTTTAGTGTCCTTCACAACGAATGGTGGTCTGCAGGTGGTGTCTTCAAGTGAGGGCAGCTTACCTGTTCTGAACCATGCTCATGGCCATCCAGTCCCCAGGGTACACATTCTTCCCAATGAGGTCCTTGAACATGATGAAGGTCTCCATCAGGAAGTCCTACAAAAGTACCACAGAACACACCATCACCGTCTCCCTGCATCCCAGGGGCAGACTGCATGTGTCCACATCTTGCTGGCAACTTAAATGTTTTCTTTATTTTCCTTTAAAGGATCAGCATGGGAAGGGGACTAGGTTTTCACTAAGTAATTCAGTAAGAGTCATCACAGTACACTGAAGATGGAAGCTTCAAAGTCAGCTACCGAGATTCAGCTTCACAAATACGAGTGGGATATGAATATGGACTGAGATTTCACTCTCAAAATTAAGCACTATTAATTCTGTCTTTAAGAATAAAGAAGTAAATGCATTTGTTGATGTGGTAATTTTATCATCATCTTTGCAAATATGTATTTGAAAGGAAAATAATCCACACTACATAGTCTCGTCTCAGATCATTGAGCAAACAAACTATTATTTAAATGATCATCTAATTAGCAGTGAGTAAACACAGTTAATCCACCTGTCACCCATGCATATAAACAGATGAGTGGAAGCCTGGTGACAAGCTCTTCCTCTCCTTTGAAGAGGCTGAAAGTGGATTTAAAATTCTCCATCAGATTTTGCAGTAGGCCAACCTTCATCTCCATCTTTAGAGAAAATAAATTCAATACAGATCCAGACAGTGAAGTCAAGAACCACTGGCACCGAGAGACTTGAGCTGCAGTAATGAAGCCGGATCACCTAGACACTCTCGGTTAAAGCTGCAAAACCAGAGTCCACTTGCAGCTCTTCCTTTAAGCAGAGCTTGTCAAGACATTTTACTGCAGACTCTTTGTTCAGAGGAAATCTGACCTAAAATCCAATATATGAAATAGATAAAAGTAGATCAGCTCTGATTGTGTGTACATGAGTACATACACAAGTGCGCACAGGTGTGTGTCTGTGTGTGTGTTTATGGTAGTATAATGAGGCTAGGTGGAATACAATTTGAAAAATCACTGCTTTAAGCTAAATTGTGAAATTATGGAAACGGCATTGGTTCCTTTCCAAAAATCTTTGCTTCTAGGAAAAGTCACCTCTATGCTGTAAGATCCCAACTCGCACATCAGCAAAATGGGGTAACACCTACCTCACAGGGTTACCATGAGGCTCACTACATACTGTGTACTTAGATGCTTAGCACAGAGCCAGAAGCCCCATGAATGCTCACTCAGTGCTTGGTGATGTCATTCATTCTCGATGTCCCAAGGGAAGTGTGCTTCTCCTACCTGCACACCCCTTTCCTACAGGGATGAAGGAGGCTTCTGTCTCTTAACAGGTAAGTGGCTTCCAAATAAAAAGTGGCATCACACAAAGACAATACCTGAGGTTTCAGTCCCCCCTGCGCCACTTGCTAGATATGGAGCCCTGAGCAAGTAGATTTTAGATTTGAAAACTGTGACACCTTGGGGCTGGAGAGATGGCTTAGCAGTGAAGAGCACTGGCTGCTCTTGCAGAGGACCAGGGAATTCAACACCTTCTTCTGACCTCCGTGGACACTGCATGACATGGGTGCATTTACACAATGTAGGCAATACACTCATCATACACATAAAAAAATGTAGTACCTAACACACCTATGGCATATTGGCATATCACTGTGAGAATTTCATAAGACAATGTGTATGTTCAATGAACATTGTTTCCCTAGAAACCTTTCATTCCACAATGATTAAAAAAAGAATCTGGTTTTCCTATCCCCACATTCTGAGACAGAGAAGTTGGTAGGGGCGCGGGGGCAGAAAACCTGGGTTATCCAACCATTTTTTACTATAGTTTTTAAATGTCCAGAAGATAGTTCTAGTTCTATTATTATTATTATTATTATTATTATTATTAAAGGATGTGTCACTAATGAATGAATGAATGGAAGGGTAGGGCTTGGGTTTCCTAAAGAATTGAATTTCTTTTGATGAGCCACTTTCTAAGGTTGGTCCAATTCTGGTATCCTTGGTCCTTCCCTAAGAATTAAGAGTAATTAGATTTTTGAATCTGCCAACAGTGAGGAGACAGTGATGAGCAAAAGTGCTCTGCTACACCCCCAGGATAAGGCCAGTTTGGGCTGGTCTATGTTGTGCTGAAGTCATCTGCTGTAGAGACATGTGTCATAGGCAGATGGTCCTGTAACAGATGAGTCCTGAGAGGTGAGAAGAAATGGGTTCAGGGGCCAATTCTCTATATACCTGTTATTGTATCATAGAAATAGCCTTTTTCCGAGTGCTTACAATTACTCCTATGATCCCTTCACAGTCCTGTGACATAGATGGCATTGCTCCAATTTATAGATGAGACAACAGGCTTAAGAGAATTTGACTTGCCTGTGGACACAATGACCAATGTAGGATTCCAATCCAAGACTGCAGGACTCCGACACTCAGGCCCCCAAACATTCACTGATTCATCAACAAATATTTGCTAATGCAAACCTAGACGTGGTAGACACAGGACTCAACTCTGATTTGGATTGATGATATGTTCTTGAAGTTAGTTATACAAGAAATGGAATCAGATATGTGTGTTATAATTTTCAACATACACACATACTTTGGAACTCTATCCCATAAACCCATGAGAACAAGGGCATTATACACCATGCTCCCTTTACCCATGCATGCACCCCACACACATCCTACAGACTCACCACAAGGTCTGAGCTGGTCTGAAAGGTCTCAATATAGAAGGAATAGTGTTGATCGCCCATCTGGTCTAAGATGGCTGTCATGCATGCCACAAAGTGACTCTGTAAAACATAGGGAAACATATGATGAACCAGCGAAACAGAGGACCATGAGTTTCATTCTTTCCATCTTCTTGACTTCAAAATTAAAAACATGCAACCATGCCAGGCATAGATACAGCGCCATCATAGTGAAAAATCTCTTGCCATCAGATGAAACTCCCCAAGAGGAAATGTCCTTATAGCTTGTTCATTGAAAAATCATTCATTGAACACCTATTGGGGCCTGTGGCTGTAATATGACCTCAATATACAAAAAGAGGATCAGATCCATTGCCTTGCATGCTTCTTGCACATTGGGAAATGAGCTCTATATGGAGGTTGGGAGACACAGCCTATGTCAAAATCCTTGGAGTCAGTCAGTTTCAGTTTCTGGTAAATAATTTTGTCTGCGCAAATCCCCATTGTCTCATCTGTGCCCATATATACCCTCAGAGGAGTGATTGGAAAGATCAGTGACTCCAACAGAACCTTGAAGTGCATTCAAGTCTCTGTAGAGGGATGAGTTTCTGGATCACCATGAATCAGACAGTGGGAGAACCCAGCTCCTGCCAAGATTGGTACTTATTAGGGCAAAGAAGATGAGGGATGAGAAAAGATGGCCTTTGCTCTTGGTGAGCTTAGTTGAGAACACATGATTAATGTGGGTGAGGAAAGGATTTAGACAAGAGGGAAATCAAGGTAGAGACCTGAGCAGGATGTGCATCTAGAAGGAACCGTGGGAATCGAAGGGCAAGAGCTGTGGCCATGCATGCACCAGAGGCATCAGCTCAGCCTCTTCTGCTTCTTCCCTTCCAAACCTGAGTGTCAGTGTTAGGGTGTGCTGACCTCTGTAAACAACACTCAAGGAGATCTCTTCTGGAAGCTGGTCAAGGAAGCACTGGCCACTGTTCCACCACAGCTGAGATGCCATTCTCAACTCTTTCCTGCAAGATCTCAGGGGGGCTGCCATCTTGGCCAGAGGAAATCCCACTGTGGCCAAGCTCAGGGCCTGGCTGTATGACACCAGTGTGTCCAGGGAACTCCCATTTCTAAAAATAGTCCTGGAAGTTTTATGTTTGAATAACAAAAGGTGAGGTATGTGGT